ATGCTACATAAACTAAGCTCCATTTCATGCTGAATACACTAAATTATTAATGTATCTTAAATAGAAAACTATCTTTAGATAGATTTTTAACTCCAAAAGCATTTATTAAAATAAATTTAATTTAAAAAAAATCTGATTTAAATAAAAACCCAATTTAATTTTTTTTAAATCTGATTTTTATTTTTATTTTAAAAAAAAAATCAGCCATTTTTTATCCTCCCTGTAACCTAGTGACAAAGTCTGTGTCATATTCCAAATTAAATTCAGGCTATCAGAAGAAAATTCATGTACCTATCATGGTTATTTAAATAATGAATCAGAAATGCTGCTGAGTCATATAATTCAAAAGAGGCATAAGAAAGTAAACTGTACCCTATTACATACTTTCAGAAAGGGGAGGCAGTCTTCATCTCCAAATGAATATGTAGCCCCTCTAGCATTTCCATACAGTCTGGGAACTCCCTTCAACAGTTGAATTTAATTTCCTATTACTTTGAGGGAATAGTAATGTAGTACAATGTAATGTTTATTTCACCCAAACACTATATAAAATACTTCTTCCTTCCTCCCTCCCTCCCTCCCTCCCTCCCTCCCTCCCTCTCTCTCTGTGTTTGTGTGTGTTAAAAGGCTGCCTGTATGAGGCATTCTATTACTTTATGTTTCTTTTTCATATTAAAACTTTCATCTGCCCAAAATCTTCTAAGTGCAACTTATAACAACCAGAAGCATCTGCAGGGGAAAGGGACAAAAGTAATGAAAAGTTTGTTACAATATTGTGATTCAAATTATGTACTTGTGTGTGACATGCAACACAAACATAAAAAGGTGATGCCTACATTGTTATATCATGATGCATATTTTTAAAAAAATCATTTTTGTTTCCTCTTGATTAGGAATGGCTATCTCTGCCGACCACCACAAGATTATTGTAATGGAAATTTGATATTCCTACATCTTTTCTTGATTACATTTTATGCTGCACTATAAGAAGAAAAGCCTCTTCTAATTCCCCCTTCTTTCATGAACAATTTTTGGACGTTAGAAAAGGACAAATCTAGTTCTGTATTTTCCCCCTTCTGGTTCCTTTAGTTTTGAATTTTCCTTCTTGCTTTAACATTACATCTCCCTATTATCAAAGTTGAGCAATCAGGTAGTGAATTCTTTGCTTGTATCCTCTATCACAGTGTTTCTCAACCTTGGTGACTTTAAGTCCTGTGGACTTCAACTCCCAGAATCCCCCAGCTATGCTGGCTGGGGGATTCTGGGAGTTGAAGNGATTTATTGGCACTCAGTTTTAACACTGCCTCCACTTCTTTTTTCTTTAAGAAATTAAAAAAAAACATTCATAAATAACTTGCTTTTTTTAACTCATCCAGTTTCTAAAGTAATGCATTTGTTTTGGAAAAAAACAAAGGGGGGGAATCTTTTTTCTACTGATATGAAAAATGATTACTTCCATGTTCTTGATTGAAGGGTTTTTGCATAGAGAGCATACTTTATTAATTTTGATCTTTCCGATCTATTTTGATAGCAGGCATGGTCCCTGATGAAGGGCAGAGTGGGATATGTGGGTTAAGGTGATATTGTTGACTGTTGCTGAAGTTTATAAGAAAGCACAAACTTCAGCACTCTGCTGTGCGTATTTTATTTTATAATTAGCCAATTGAGGCTCATAAACAAAGATGCAACAGGTTGGGTTTGAATAAAATATGAAGGGAGAACTTAAGGTGTTTAGGACTTATCTTGTGATCAATTCCATTCTCAGGTTTTCTGTTTGCTCATCTGTTAAAAAGAGTCAGTAGAACATGCATCTTGAGGAAGAGGTTTTCAGAGGAAAAACAAAACAAAACTCTAGTTATAAAAACCCACGATATTGGATTGGCAAACCAGTTTTGTTATTTATGAAACTGCGTGTCTTTAGAGTACAGATATCTGGTAACTAGTTGCACAACTGGGAATAAGAAGAGAGGAAAATAGAAGTACATGATAACTTTCTAACTTTAATAATATTGCTTTTAAACATGAAATGATGCTTCTTGTGGCTCTGTGATTTGTAATTTTTGCTTCTCACATGCACACATTCATTTCCCCCCCATTCCTATTGTAACTATTAGACCAAAGCAACTATGTTTTTCTGTTCTGTGAACAAGACATTTGCTTATATCCTGCAATCACTTTTATCCTTGTTTTTTTTTAATTTATAGTGTTTCCAATGTGGATTATAATGTAATAAAAATATGTCTTAGATTGCATTCTAAATCAGTAAGAATCAAAACTGTGAACTTCATTTCTCTCTCTCTAGAGCTTCTCGCCCAATTGCCCCCCCTTCGGTGCATCTGAAAAATGTGGCAGTAGAAGTCAAAAGTGAACAGGAGAAGGAGATTTTAAGGAATAGTCAAGATGGGCATGAGGATCAAACTTCATAGCACTGACCATCCGAATAACTTGTTGAAGGAACTTAACAAATCTCGATTGACAGAGTCTATGTGTGACGTCACCATTGTTGTGGGTAGCTGTTCGTTCCCTGCACACAAAGCAGTGCTGGCATGTGCAGCAGGCTATTTCCAGAATCTTTTCCTGAATACAGGATTGGATGCTGCCCGCACTTATGTAGTGGATTTCATTACTCCGGCCAACTTTGAAAAGATTCTGAATTTTGTTTATACATCAGAGCTCTTCACGGACCTTATAAATGTGGGTGTCATTTATGAGGTTGCTGAAAAATTGGGCATGGATGATTTGCTGAAGGCTTGCCATTCTACCTTCCCAGATTTGGAAAACTCAGCTGTCACTAAACAGCCTTCTGCCTCAAATGAAAGCCGGCCTAGTGGTGCTTTAGCTGAACCAAACCATTCTCTAGGTGAAAGTCGAAATAGTGGGGAACAGCTGGGATCAGAGCGAAATTGCAATATGCATGGTGAAGCAGCCACTGGCTACAAAGAAGATCCTACCAATGAAGCTACTCACACTTTAATACATCCACAGACTCCCAAAGCTGAAGAGCAAGAACCAACAGGACCATTTACTGGTGCCATGAGTATAATGACCCAGGGTGGTCTCGGTAATATTAGCATGGCTGTTCAAACCCCTGTGAACTCTTGTCAGCAGTATAAGGTCCAGAGCAATGGGGATTATAACAAAAGTAATCTTTTTGCCTCCGATGTCTCCTTAGATATATCAACAAGTAGCAATTCCTGCCCCAGCAATAGTGACCATTCCAAAGATCATGGTTTTGGGCCGATGGATGAATTGCAGCTGGAGGACTTGGGGGAAGAAGATCTGCACTTTGAAGATCCCAGTGAAGAGCTGGGTGCTGCAGAGGAAGTGATAGAGCTGAGCGATGATAGCGAGGAAGAGCTATCCTTCGAGAACGACAGCCGGGAAAACAAGGCCATGCCGTGTCAAGTGTGCAAAAAGGTTTTGGAGCCCAACATTCAGTTGATCCGTCAGCATGCTAGGGATCATGTAGACCTTCTGACCGGCAATTGCAAGGTTTGTGAGACCCATTTCCAAGACAGGAACTCTAGAGTCACTCATGTCCTGTCACACATTGGGATATTCCTTTTTTCCTGTGATATGTGTGAGACTAAGTTTTTCACCCAGTGGCAGCTGAATCTTCATCGCCGAGAAGGGGTGTTTGACAACAATATTATTGTCCATCCCAGTGACCCTCTGATAGGAAAGGTCAATTTGTTCAATGGGGATTTAGCATGTGCTGCCTGTAGGAAACCACTGGCCAAAGATTTTCATGTGGTTCGTGGCCACATCTTGGACCATGTGAATGTGAAAGGCCAAATATGTGGTATATGTGACCAGCAACATCTCAATCTCTGCAGCTTGATGTGGCACACACTTTCCCACTTGGGAATTTCTGTCTTTTCTTGCTCTATCTGTGCCAGTAGTTTTGTGGATAGACATCTTTTGGAGAAGCATGTGGCTGTCCATCAAAGTATGGAAGAAGCTCTCTTCCGGTGTCATTACTGCGGTCAGGCTTTCAAACTTGAAGCTGCGTATCGCTACCATGTTAGTCAGCACAAGTGTAACTCTACCTTGGACCTCGTCCGGCCGAACTTTGGTGACCGTCTTCATCAGCAAGCATTGCAAAAGCGGAAGCTGACGGAGAAGTTCCTAAATGAGGACGTGGCTCTCCAGAACCAACCTGGGAATAGTAAATATAGCTGTAAGGTTTGTGGGAAAAGATTTGCTCATACCAGTGAATTCAACTATCATCGGCGGATCCACACAGGGGAGAAGCCCTATCAGTGCAAAGTGTGCTACAAGTTCTTCCGTGGACGTTCTACCATAAAGTGTCATCTGAAGACACATTCTGGGGCTCTCATGTACCGGTGCACCGTTTGTGGCCACTACAGTTCCACCCTTAACCTTATGAGCAAGCATATAGGTGTGCACAAAGGGAGCCTCCCACCAGACTTTACCATTGAGCAAACTTTCATGTACATCATCCATTCCAAAGATGCAGAAAAAAACTCAGAGAGCTGATGCAGCTATACTGGGGAAGTAAACACTACTTGAGATAGCAGTGAAACTTGTTTCAGAATTTTTAAAAAATTACTTTTAATGGTCTGTATACTTTTATTTTCTTACATTTCGTGTAGAATTTTCCTTGAAATCACTGTCCTGTGAAACAATATCACATTAGATGTGTTACTGTTCTCAAAAAAACGTTGTGTTTACCTCCCGAGTTGCTTCAAATGTAAGAAATAAGATCTTCTGTTCTTCATCTATCCCATCTCGTGACTTCTCTCCTCCTCTCACAGGCTTTATCTGACATCATTAGAAGATTGATGTTGCTAAGATGTATCGATGATCCATACCAGTAGGGCTAGCAGGAGAAAAAGTGGAAAATATGACAAAAAATGCTTCTGGTTTATTGATGACAAGGTTTAATTTCCAAAATTTAATCCTAAGCATACTTACTCAGAAATAAGGCTGCCTTTGTTTTGAAGGAATTATTTCCTGTTGGTTCATGTATTGTAGACACATCTATATATTTTTCCTTTCAAAAGGATTGCATTTTCTTATATAGTAAATTTAACTGTCATGCCAGTCTATAGACTTTGAGAGAAAGATCATCTCCCTACAGTGAAAAGCTGATTTCTTTGAATGAAGCTGATATTAAAGGTACAAGGGCTGGATACGTTAGGAGATTTAATCAGTCACCAAATCTACCTTACATCTAGCCTTAATTTTCATTTCCCTCTTAGTTTTGGCAAAGCACACTTATTTTAGTTGTTCAAACAATAAAATTTGATCTGAAGTACCTCTTTCAAAAATTCTTAGGGCATGAAAAAAATTGCAAGTTGGCAGTGCTGCCTTGATGCCAATGTGAAATTCTGTCATTAATATTTGTATTGAACAATAAGGTGTGTTCAGAGGGTAAAACATTTAAAGCAATTAATATATTATGCTAGTGCTTGGAATCTTTGTTTTGGTCTACAATATTTATTTGCCTGATTAAAATTTAGTAGGGCTAATTTCTGAGTAAAGATGGGTAGAAGTGCACAGTTGTGTTTGAAAAGACATTGTTGCCTTAAAACATTTCTATAAGGGGGAATGAAAAGATTAGAGCAGGGTGTCAAATGCGCACTGTCATGGCAGTGTCACATGACGTATTGGGACCTTTTTCCCCTTTACTAAGGCGGGCTTGGGCGTGGCCAGCATGTGACACATCAGGCTCGCGGGCAGGGAGTTTGAGAGCCCTGGATTAGAGTTTTTGTATGACCTTCAAGCAGGAAACTAAATACACTGTTTTTACTTTTTGTTTAGAGTGAGTCAGAAGTTTTCTTAACAGTGGCACTTATTTTTACACTTTACAGATTATAGTATTTGTTTCATTGAAAATGCCGGTCCTATTTGCCCCTGCTACTATGTCAGATTGTGACTTGAGAAATATAATTGCGCTGGTATTACAGATGTAACCTTTCTAAAGAATTAAAGCCAATTTGAATATATTTTCATCACATTTAGTTGTATGCCTAACTTTTTCTCTACAGAATTAAATTTTATTAACAGTAAAACAAACAATTACTTTTAAATAAACTTCTCAGAGGTTCCAGTGGCACTGATTGGTTAATGTTGGCTGCATTACCAAAGGGCAGCCTGATTCATTCCTGGAACATTGGCAGTTTTAAAAATGTTTCCAATATTTNTTTTTCACATTTATGATCTTTGCAGCATCCTCATGGTCACATGATCAAAATTCAGACTGTTGGCAACTGACTCATATTTATGACCATTGCAGTGTCTTGGGTCATGTGATCCCCTTTTGTGACCTTCTGACAAGCAAAGTCAAAGGGGAAGCCAGATTCATCTAACAACTGTGTTATTAACTTAAAAATTGGAATGATTCACTTAACAACTGGGGCAAGAAAAGTCACAAAACGGGGCAAAATTCACATAACAAATGTTTCACTTAGCAACATAAATTTTGGGCTCAATTGTGGTCGTAAGTCAAGGACTACCTGTAGTAGCAATTGACTGAGAACTGATCTCTCATAACACAATTCACTGGTAAATCTGAGCAGCTAAGTGGTGGAAGGAAAGTTTCCCTTAGCATTACACATAATAGCTTTCCAATTCACAAGTTTAAACCAGAAGGTACTAAAGAAATATGAAAAGGGAATCCAAGGGAAATTCAGTGTTTTTTAAAAACAAAAATACTTGGTATAGAGCAATTATTAAAAAGTCTTAAGAGTCACAAAGGACTCTTTGTCCTCTAACATCTACTCTCCTATATGGCTTATGATTGTTAACTTTTAATAATGATTGTTTTGTTATGTTTATTATTGTTTTATATCCTTTCTTCATGTCGCCCAGTCACTTTTTGCTAGATGGGTGGCCATATAAAATGGATACAAATAATAAATAAATAAATATATAGCCAGGAAGAACAAATGAGCACTAATCTTACTACACCATGGAAAATAACTTCCAATTCCGATTAGTTTCAGTTAGCATTTTTCTGTGGAGATGCTACACAAGACTACTGTCGCGAGGCATTGTTATCTCAAATCCGGTTGTTCAAGTCTCTTTCCATCCTTTTTTTAAAATCAATTTTTTCTTCTTCACAATTTCCCCTTCTCTGTGCAGCTCTTCATACCAGTATTTGTAATAGTTCTGAAATAACACAGCCAAAGGAGTTAGCAGGGGCCTTTGAGGGAATGAATTCAGTTCAAATGGTAAATAACCAGGAGTTGCACAGAAGAGAATCAGTGAGACTGATTAATTAGGAGAAGGATTTTCTGTCCTTTGGGCATCAGAAGCAGTGGGCCCCATGGGGAATTTCTGCATTTATTTATTGACACCCTGCTGCAATATAAAAGCCATCTTCATGAAGAATAAATAAATCCAGTTTGGATAAGCAGCAAGAGTAATTGAGTATGGCAAACACCCTTATGTGCTGCCTATTTGGGGCTATCTGAACAGTACATTACTTTTTAAAAACCAAGGGACCTCCTAGCGAGACCAAAGGCTTTCTACAGTATTTAAAATAAACTTCTTGGAAACCCATTTTCCTTTTTAGTTCCTGCTCTGCTGCCTAGTAGTGGCTAGATAAAGACTGCCATCTTGTGAATTGCGTCTTACCCTGCAACAAAGTGATAATAGGAACAAAATTAAGAAATAAAATAGGTGGTTTCTGATATGAAGTAGGGCTCTAGTCAGATTGTCAGCCCTCATTTATAATATTGAAATATTTTTGAACAGCTAGGGCTTCTCCTGTTATCCAAACTAGAAACTATTGCTTAAATGATTTTAAAAAAAAGCATTTTGCATGGCAACCATGATGTTTTTAAAGGCTCTCACAGTCCATCATAGCACCACATAACACATTAAAATACTGGGCTGAAGGAACCCGATTATTTATGCAATCCCAAGTGAGAATCTAAAGGTTTTACCTTTCTGGGATTTGGAAAGTGAGCAGGTGGGAATGACTGTACAGATAGTGCTTGACTTATAACAGTTCATTTAATGGCCATTTGAAGTCACAACATCACTGAAAAAAGTGACTGTTTTTCACCCTTACAACATTGCAGTATCCCTGTGGCCATGTGATCAAAATCCAGATGTTTGGCAATTGACTCACATTTATGATGGCTGCAGTGTCCTGAGGTCATATAATCACCCTTCTGATGAGCAAAGTCAATAGGTTGGTTCAATCTCTCCCTTTGCTCATCCTTAACTATGGGTATTTTCTCTTTCTCCAAGTATTGAACCAACCAATAACTTCGGAGGAAATCCTCCTGGTTATTAAACAGTTAAAAGTTGGGAAACACCTGGTACAGATGGACTGACAGCGGTTTATTATAAATTGTTTATTATTACAATTAGAAATGGTAGAATCCCTTAAGGAACTATTTAACAGAATTCAATTGGATGGAAGNTTTTCCCCCTTCTGGTTCCTTTAGTTTTGAATTTTCCTTCTTGCTTTAACATTACATCTCCCTATTATCAAAGTTGAGCAATCAGGTAGTGAATTCTTTGCTTGTATCCTCTATCACAGTGTTTCTCAACCTTGGTGACTTTAAGTCCTGTGGACTTCAACTCCCAGAATCCCCCAGCTATGCTGGCTGGGGGATTCTGGGAGTTGAAGTCCACAGGACTTAAAGTCACCAAGGTTGAGAAACACTGCTCTATCAGCTATAGGAAAACTCAAACCGAACTGAATAGGGTTCCCATCAAACTGATGGGAGCTAAATGATTCTGCAGGAAACCAACTTTCCTTATTCTTTAATTCTAGATAATTCCATTGAACTCAGTAAGGAACCATTCACTGGTTTGAGGGACGTAGACTACTTGCCGAATGCAGAATGAGGTAAGGAAAGAGGGGTCAAAACTCAAAACTTTTAAATGGGGTGAAAAGAAAAATTCTTCACAGTTTTCTCTTACATAGATTTTTTTTTTACTGTTTACAAGATTTTAAATATTCAAGCAACTTCACATATGGTAAAAACATAAACAAGCATTCATACAATTTATTTTTATGTATTTGTTTGTATGATTTAAGTTGAAGCAGACGTGAACAGTGTTGTGACTCTGATATTAGTGGTCTTCCGTGTTCATCTAACCTACCCTTTTTAGGTAGGTTAGATGAACACTGCTGATGCAGCAGCTCTGGTAAGTAACTTGCCAGCGAGCAAAATTGAGGGGTCGTGAATTCTCTAGAGCTGAAGCAGGCAAATTTGTAAATAAAATGTAAAATACTTCTAATGGTTTCTGCCTAGAGTCGAATTACAAGTCTAATTCCGATGTATCCTTTCAAATACTCATTGACCACAAGATGGCACTGCATTCAAACAGTTTTTTCTATATCTTTGTTGCTATCTAGATATTACCTGGATTTTTTTCTATCCAGATAGGGTCGGCTTAACCACTCGGCAATTTACAAGATGTGTTTTTGGTGAAATTTGTACGCACGTTCTTCTGTCAAAGTCACTTTTGGCAAAAACATGGAATTACAAATTGGACAGTATACAATGACAGTGTACTCTTTATACTTCCCCGAGCAATGAGTAGTTCCAGGGATAAGCTTTTCAGGCTCAATGAAAAAGCATTAGAGACTTATAAAGTCTTTGCAAAAGCCACTTAATATTTTAAAAGGTAACAATAGGGAACAGAGGCAAGCAGACCCCACAGCATAGGAGAAGGCAACTTGGATAACATATATTCTATATAATTTTTGATTGAGAGCTGCCCATTTGGGACAGGCTACCTCAAAATAACTGTTTGATGCACAAAATGGCTCTTGCACTGAATTTTTTTTGAACAACCTAACAACTGTCTTGACTTTACATGCGAATGCAACCTTGTTTTTTTTGGTTTGGTTTATTATGTCAAAAGAACCTTTGCATCTGTGTGAAGCCCTATCTATCTAATCTTCTGTGACTTAAGTTTTTTTAATGGACAAGTTTTTAATAATGTGTATTGCACTCAGCTTAGTAGTTTTTGCTTAATCTTTTCTTGCACAGGTTTCATGCAAGAGTGAAGACAGACAAGCAAAAAGTCTGCAAGACTTCAAGAAACCAACCTAAATTAGATTTCACCCACCAAAGCCACCTTCAGCCAAACCAGAAACTTTGATGTACCATGGAGCTTCTTCATCTTGTCCCAGCCTCCTCCCATGTTCTTTTCCTTAATTATGCTCTTAATTCCAGCCTATAACTAATTGTAATGCTTTAGTGTTCACTGTTCGAATATTTTGACAATTATCTCTAGTCCTCATAGTGCTTTGTCCCCCTGTATACATGTGACTTGAAACTTGCAGAACTTCTTCCATGTAAAACCATGCTTCTGCACATCCTTTTGTGGCACAGAATAAGAACACCTCAGTCTTCTATATTAACAGGGTTTTTACTTATGACCTGCCACTGTGTGTGTCTCATTCTTTGTTTGATATTTCAGCTGACTGCTGTCATTATTGCAGAGTGGGACACTGTTTCGACAAAAATCAATAAACCAACACATTTACAAAATGGCAAAAATTACTGGCACAATGTACAGTAGATATTCAACTCAGTGGTGGGTTTCTATTTTTTTTTCTATTGGTTCGCTCGTGTGTGCGCATGCACAGAAGTGTTGGGGCGGATGGGCGAAGCCTCCCACCGCCGCTATTATCAGTTTGCCCGATTCGGGCTGAACCGGGAGCAACCCACCTCTGATCCAAATCTGTCTGCTGTTTAGGTGATCATGTTTTAGGATTGCATTACACTTTTGCATTGGAGGCCCTAGGGCGTTACTCGTGCCACAGGTGTCCCAAAGGTGTTTTTTCAAGAGGCAACTGGACTTTTTTCTGTTTTTCCTTGAAGACGGTTCGCCTATCATCCAAGAAGTTTATTCACTGAAGTAAAACAAGGAAAGCAAAGGAAGCCCAGTTGCCTCTAAAAGCACCATGACCTGGATGACTGAGAATCTCCATAGATATTGTGCCATAGGTATATAAAACGCCACATTCATACATGGTCCAAAAACATCCTACAACAATCTTGGGACCTTGGAAACTGCTGATTTGTAGAATAAAGACTGAATTAGATTAGTTGGAATGTTGAGCTGACGTAGCATAAGGCAGGGATATATGTCTGATAATATACAGATGGTCTGGGCAACCCCCCCAAAAGAGTAATCTTTCAAAATTTG